TTCTCAACCTCATTCCTGTAGTGAGGAGTTGTGCAGAGACACTGGGGAGAGGGCCAGGGGTAAATGGTAAGAGGGGGGCGGGGGGTGCTTTGGGTGGGTAGTGACGGGTTACATGGGTATTGGGTAGAAAGTTTTGCTGTATATTAGGGGAAAGGGTTATGCCATTTTTTTAATTTATTTAAAAATCAGCTAGAAATAAGAGATTCAACAATATTTCCTGTGGAAATAACTTGAATATGGGTAAAATTTCAGTGAGTTACCTCATTACTCTGACCACCTTGGCATGGTGGCAAAGGATTTTAAGAACCACCGAGTTGGCAAAGATAGCCAGAATATAAATTTGAATTAGAATGGGTGACGGAAAAAACAAATTAGACTTCTCATCCTCAGTGGTTTTTCCTTCAGTATTTTGCCACACACTTTGTACAAGGCAGGAAGAGCAGCCTTGAAGGGTGTGAAATTTTAAGAGGATGAAAAAAACGCAGATGAAAAAAAAATGGCAGGAGCTTAGTCTGTATAAGATTTTTATTGTTATTTTTTAAAAAACAGTGGCTTACAGCACTTTTTGTTTAAACTGAACCCACAGCCACCGAGACGGTGACGACGACCTCGGCGGCTCCCCACATGTACAGAGAAGCACCGTTTAATTTGTCAATAGGGAAAATTGATAATCTGTACATCATCCATCAGGCAATAATTGATATTGTTTATTTCCGTTTCAGAGTACTAACATTTTGTGTGTAATGTGTTTGGGTTTGGTTAATAAGGTACTATATTTCTATGGTAAAATACAAGCAGATACTATGGGAGAAAGTGAAGGTGTGGAGCCCTGTGGATGTCCATGCCCCAGCCAGTAGTCACTTAATAATAATGATAATGAAAATAAATATTTATCTGAATTAAATACCCTGAATAATGACCATGATGAACTAAATTCACTGCAAGTACACAACACCAGTTATTTATTCTGACTATTTATTCTTTTTATTTATGATATTTATATACTGTGGACTGGATTTTCACTACAGCAGTAAATACACCTCAATTCCAGATGGGTACACACGTTTCCTTTTTTTTTTTTTCTCCCCAGTTTGTTTAATATTAAGTGTCAAGTTACATTTGTACTACTGTGACTTTTTTTTTCTGGAAAACTCTCGGAAAACTCTCACATTTACGTGTGCAAAATGGAATTTCTATATGAAAACAGTGTTTTGTATGAAGATAATCAAATTTTGTAATGATTTTTATTGACACAAAATATATAACTAGGAGTGTCATCCATGGAAGAAAGGTGGTACTACAGTGTAATAGTATTTCAGGCAACATTTTTAGAGGCTAGATTGGTCGGATCCACACACACACACACACACACACACACACACACAAACACAAGAGTGCAGAGAGGATCTCATTTCCACGGAGCAGATTTTACACAAATGAGTTCTCCCGCTGGGCAGAACATTCTGGGTAAAAACATCAGTGACAATGTTGTTTTGAAGAAAAAGAAAGAAAAAAAGCAAACTATTTTTATCATATAAAGGAATCGTATTTAAATAAAGATATTTTTACCTCACGTAAAAAAGATTATTGATAGATCAACTAAACAGTGTATAAAGAAGCAGGAAGAGAGGGAGAACAGAGACTGCTGATCATTTTACACCTGATTACTGATAGACTGCTAGAACCCAGTGCAGAGCAATTGTGTGTAAATGGTTTTAAAATTTAAAAAAACTGTAAAAAAAAAAGATGTATTTAAAAAAAAACAAACAAATCACTTAACTAATTTTGAACCTGTTAAAAATACATAAAATAGAGTGCACACAGTTTACCCTTTGAAGTTGATGCACAAGTTTAAAATAAAAATTGAAAAAAATGGTTTGTCTCGGTTGTGGTTTCATTGAGAGAATATCCGTGAGAAATTATACAAGTAAATGACAAGACATTTATAAAATACGGACCATAATAATTGTTTAGCATAACTGACACTGAGATCATCCTAATTCTCAGGTTGTTTCTGTTGAGTTGACTAAAAGTTCAAATTTTTCTCATACTCTTTTACTCAAAGAATTAAAAAAAAAAAAAAACACATCTTAAAATTCGAGGCCCAGACTGTGCCAATAGAAGAAAGCAGTGTCTTCCACTGCAGTGAGCACAGCTTGGCCTCTTCTCCTCTGCCCAAAGGTTGGAACAACAGAAAGAGTTCCTAAGGTTCCTAGTGCCCAATGCATTAAAAATAAATCAGATTTTGTTTTTTGTTTTCAGACATCACTCTGCACACTCCACACACAACATACAGCTGACACACATACAAACACCAAGAGCTACAGCTAATATGTAGAACACAACACTTAAAGCCTGTGGTGTTTTCCCCAGGGTTTTCTTAAACACTGATGTGTTGAAGAACAGTTTCAATCTCAGCTCTGTGTGCAGCAGTGGTGATGTTAGAAGAGAGAGGGGCAGAAGAATGAACCACCTTCACAATCCCATTAATTGGATCATTATTATAATCTGCATAAGTGTGCTGTGATGTGGACACCAGATGCAGTGGCTGTGGGTTCATACGATCCTTCAGCGAGGTCTAAATGAAGGTACTACGCTGATGTACATAACTGTAGAATTGTTTTTTATATTTTATTTGTTTATACACACTGCTGTGCATGCTCTGGTGAGTGGAGCTACTTACATGCATTATTTTATTATTATTTATATTATTATTTTTTATATTATAATTTATTTATAAAAAAAGTGAAACTTGATGGTGGCTGGTAAAACATGATCGTCCCCAATAATATTGATTATTCTACAATCCCACAAAATTCATTTAACATGTGAGTCAACCTGTCAGTCGTAACAGCCATGTGCTTCATGTGAATGGTGTGACATCGAAGCATCCACAAGGCATGTTGGACGTCAAGATGGTGCTTAAAGCTCCAGGAACAATAAGTGAATGAACAGACATACAGTGCTCGTCATTCTGTAGATTGTCTTTCTTGCTTAAATACAGTTGAAAAAAAAGGGGGAGAAAACACATCAGGTCCATGACGTCCATTCATTTTCATCTCCGTCATCTCTCCGTACATCAGGTGGACGGCTGCTGTCAGTGGTGTTTCTCTTTGTGCTGCTGGAGATTAGTGACCACTGCAGGGATGAACGGGTTTTTGTGAGAGTGATGAAAAAGGAAAGTCACAGGAGTTTATCTGCCACTGATCCACGACACATGAGATTTAGGAACATAAACCGAAACTACAGTACATTGAAGGAGGAACAGTCAAACCTTTGATGCTTTGGCCAAATGATTACACGGGGTGAGCTGTGGTACAGTAGACTAATGGAGCATGACCATCATCCACCGCCTTCAATGGGTGGAGCATTAGCTGAATAGGCTCTTCCTGTCAGAATATCCTTTCTTTAGGTTTATCTTTAGCAAAGCTGGTGATTTCTGATGCTGTGATTTATGGCTTACATGTAGAAAATGATGATTTGCATAAAAAAGGAGCGCATTTTTAACTTCATTTTCTTAGAACATACCAGCAATATCTTGCTGTTCATGGCTACATTTAAATGATTTGAAGCCTTAATGTTTTAAAGATGACACAAACCTGTGCACACGGCTGAAAAACACTCCGCTAATACACTCATGTTCCTGCCGAATGTGAGCTGTCGTTGAACACAGGGTCTAAAATTGTATGTCCCAGTGGGTGGCTGACACTTTGCTACAGGGGCAACAAACAACACTGGCCTCACACTGTTCTAATAGCCAACAGCTGCATTTGCGAGCAAAGCTACTAAAAAATGGGGGAATCCTTGTGTAAATCACTCGTTCATAATCTGTTTCTGCTGCAACAAGCCTGGTCTGCCGCCAGCTGTGGGCTGAATGAAAACAAGCCAAAGTCATCAAAGCAGCCCATCTATAATCCATCCCCAGGATACAGCCCAAAAAAGGAACAACAGAGATATGAAAGTGCTGTCTTTGTTTCCGTGTAATCAATACAGGCAGAGGATAATATTTACTGCTGTGTGGTGCAGTGTGAAGAGTGGATACAAGTTGAACAAAGAGATAAAACTCTGGCACGTGTTTCGTCTTTACTATCTTCACTTGACACAGGCAAGAAACTAATCACAGACCAGGGGATTAAGGAAAAGGTAGTTGTGATTTAAATTATATTAGACCATAATTGACATATACAAGGATAATTCTAGGGGATGAGGCAGTAGTTAAAGAAGACAGAAACACAAATTCTGGAATGTCTGCAGAAATCATCAAGACATGAAATGTCGGTAAAAAGGTACAATTTCTAAGGTACAGAGTATTTTAAAGTGAGATACTCTAATATTGTTCATGTCCTGAGGCGGAGGTTTAACAATCAAGCATGTGGTTCCTCTGCTCTCTGCTTCTGAGGAAGGCATGCTAAACTCTACACTGTGGAACATACCCCGCCTTCCTGTTTCCCCAGGGTTATTTAGTGTCATCACACTCACCTGTGTCCTGTCCTTCTCTGCTAATCAGTCTCACTCAGCTCATATGGTGTCCTGCGTTCATATACCTCTCTCCCTCACCCTTCCTCTCTGTCAGTCACTGCTGGATCGTCCTCCTCATTGTCCCTGTTCTGTGGGTCTGAAGATTATGATTTCTGATGTCCCTGTGATAACATCACTGCAGGTCTGTTTCCTAATGCTTCCCATTGTGTTTCTTTAGTTTCTTCTTTGTTCCTGCCTCATTCCTATTAAAGACTAAAGCTTAAACCCACAGTCACACATAATTCCTTTAGTCGCTAGTGTGGTCCAGTTAAGATGTTGAAGCTGAAAAAAAGAAAGTCTTACAACTTATCTACACACCCCATACCTCACATATACAAAATAATTAGTATTTGTTTTTCCTTTTTGAATTGGAGATATTATTTAAATTGCTCCTATTTCTAACACCTCACATTTCATGCATGTATACTTTAAGGAGTGATGACACAGGAGCTGGAACTCCAGGACAAACTGTTCTCCAGATTCTTAATGTCATGTTTGCTTAGCAGCGACCAATGTGTTCTGCAGCGACTGCTGTTGCTGGAGCAATAAACATTTGAAAATGACTTCCCTGCCTCAAATAGATTCCCCCTGGCAGGACTGTACTATCAAACGTGAGTGGAAAAAGTGATTGTCTGCATGGCAGGAGTGTAAAAAGGCATCTGCAAGGTGTTTTTTTTTTCTTTTTTTCTGTCAACTGCT